CTCTTTCAGACCACTTTGTGTGAGAAAACTCATTTATAAGGGGCATTCAGCATTTTTCTGTTGACATAACTCAGCTTTTAATTTTTATTGCACAGTGACATGAGAATTTCATCTTTTCTAACTTGTAACTATAACTGAAAAAAATTGTTTCCCAGTTTTAATGCATGTAACTAAGTCATTTTCAAAGCTATTTACAATTTTGAAGTGATTGAAAGCGTACACTTTGGAAGCAGACTCTCAGGGTTTGAATTTGGTTCTGTCGTTCACTTGTGTAACTTTGGGCAAATCAGTTTCTTTCCCGAAGCCTTAGTTTTCATCATCTTGCAATGGGGACAGTACTACTAACTGCACAGAATCATTACTGGATTCGGTGAAATTTGTAAAGCCATAGCTAGTGTTTGGCATAGTAAGTGCTCAGGAAATGGTAACAGAAACAAAACAAAACTTAACATGATTTGTATTTATCTTTTTCAGGTGAATGAGCTCCAGAATTTATCTAGTGCAGAAGTTGTTGTCCCTCGTGACCAGACGCCTGATGAGAATGATCAAGTGGTGGTCAAAATAACTGGTCACTTCTATGCTTGCCAGGCAAGTGGGCTCTGATGTGATAAGCAAGCTCTAATGCTTTTTTCCCAAATGGAAACAATTTTCCTGTGGGTACAAACACTTAAAAAAAATTTTTTATTTATGTTTTCAAATGAGTTGGTTTAATTCCATGGGGTACAGAATTCGGGATAGAAAAAAGACTGAAGAACACACTTTGATAGGACTCTAGGCTGGGTCTACTGTGATCTCATAGCTAAGTTAAAAATGGCCAAGAACTAAAGAGATGAGCCACTGCATTATTACCATTAACAAAACACTTCATTCTAGCTTATAGGTGGCAAGAGATGTTATAACAAGGAATTCGGATGTTAAAATAAATGGAATTGCCTCAGGCCCAAGGACCAGCTCACTTTTTGCCAGATTTAATTCACTAATGGCCAGGAATCACTTTTATCCTGAGTTTCTTTTTACGCTTCTCCTAGAATGCCTTATCTTCCTCATCCATCTCTTTGCCACCCTCACAGATGGACATGGCCCCTTCCCCAGAAACTGAGCTCTCCGTCACACCCCTGTGTCTTTGCCTCCAGGTGGGCCCATTGACTCTAGTGCCGAACACTTAATTCTTCTTTTAGCAGGTGACTTCAGAGACTACTAGCAAACTAATTAGTATGGATGATTAATCTTCAAATAAACTTCTGTTTGAAGTTTTTTGAAATGGGAAAGTAAACCAACTTTGAGTAACTGTTGATCAGGTGGAAATTTCAAAACTCTCTCCTTCTGTAGGTTGCCCAGAGAAAAATTCAGGAAATTCTGACTCAGGTAAAGCAGCACCAACAGCAGAGAGCTCTGCAAAGTGGACCACCTCAGTCAAGACGGAAGTAAAGGCTCAGGAAACAGCCCACCACAGAGGCAGATGCCAAACCAAAGACAGATTGCTTAACCAACAGACGGGCTGACCCCCACCAGAATCACATGCACAAGTTTTTACCTAGCCAGCTGTTTCTGAGGACCAGGCAACTTTCGAATCCTGTCTCTGTGAGAATGTATACTTTGTGCTCTCTGAGATGTATGACACCCAGCTTTAAAAAGATAAGAAAATAAGGGGGAGGGAGGAAAAGAGGAGCTCTGCACTTCCCTTTTGTTGTATTTTCAGTGTAAAAATTTTCTAATTTTTCTTAACATTTCCCATTTATGCAAGAAATTGGCTTAACGATGCACTCACTAAATTCATCAAATAAAAATAGATTGCTCCTAAGTGAGAATAGAATTATTATAGGAACTTAAATGTTAAGGTATCAACGTAGGAAAACTTGTTTTATTGTTATCTAACACTAACATGAATAACGTAAGGGAAGTGCTGAATGGTGTTGGCAGGGGTATTAAATGTGCATTTTTACTCAACTACCTCAGGTATTCAGTAATGCAATGAAAGCAAATTTTGTGGGTTTTTTTTTTTGAAATTTTTATATACTTTATAAAGATAAAAGTCCAACTGTTTTTTAAAAAATAAAATTTAATTAGCTAACAGGCAAATAAATGAAAAAAAATTTTTTTACTTCAGGCTGGTGACAGTAAAGCTGGAAAATTAATTTCAGGTTTTTGAGGCTTTTTGACAGTTTTTAGTTGGAAAATCCAATAAATGTCCAGTGACATGGAGCAGTGCCTATATTTGGAGAGCAGCAATACCATTTTTTTTGTTTATGGTAGGGAAAGTTTTTGATGGTACTAACAGAGCAAAGTGGTCACAGGAAGTTTTGGAATGGCTAGTTTAAATGGCTTCAGGAGATGTCAATGTTTTTGTTTGGCTAAGTGATTGAGTGCACAATTGCTTTGTGCTTCTGACTATCACTACCTAAAGAAAGTGCATCAGTGGAGATATGCAGCCCCTGTGGACTTGAAACTGATTGGCAAAAAGCAAGCCCCAGCTTGTCTTACAGGATGCTTAGTTTGCCAATCCACCTCAGAGCAGTTGGTTTATCCTTTGAGCAGACCCCAAAAGAGTTGCTTGCGAAGACCAATGGGGCAGTCAGATGGTGTGAGTGTTTAAAGGCCATAAAAAGCTATATCTGCATGTGCCAGGCATTGCCATGAGCCTCACTAAGCTGTTTTGAAGATTTTTAAACAATGATAAAAAAGGAAAGGCCACCTAAAATGTTACATTACATACAGCAGAATTTCTGTATTCTGTGCAACCAGTTATTGTAAGAAAACAATTTTTGGAATATAATTCGAATGACTGTGATAAAACTTTTGACCTGAACTCATTTGCGCATTCTGTAACTTGATGGCAAAGCCCAGTATGTACAATTATGTGGGTGTGGGTGGTCTCCAAGGCCACACTGCTCTCAGAATTGTTTGTTGCTTTTTGTTCATAAAAGGCTCACAGTCATCACATTACATGGATCTGAAGGACATATATAATAACCTTTAAAAAATCATTTTGCCTCGTTTGTATTTCAAAATGAATTTCTACAGACTAGGTAAGTTTTTCTGATGATCGTATATCAGACATTTTGGAAATGACTTGAAATGTTTTCCTAAATGTTTTCAGAAAACCAGTTTATTTTGTAGTGTTAGCCAAAAAGTGCCCTTTTTGTCACTGAATTCATCTAGCATTCATAATCCCCCGCAACCCCCAACACGAATTGCTTAAAAAATAATCATGGACTGGCTTTTGGGTTGGTTTTTAGGTGAGATGTGCTTATGGCCAGAACTCTTCCTCAGTATTTGATTTTGCCAATATTTGATGAGTTGTTTTTTTAAAAATACAGATAGGTGCTGCATTTATATCTGCTGGTTTAAATTCTGTCATATTTCACTTCTAGCCTTTTAGTGTGGCAAATCATGTTTTACTTTCAATTAAGCATTGGTAATGGAGTATCTGGTAATAGCTAGAAAATAATTCTGTAACTGAGTTTGTACTCACCGCATATGGATCATTCCTCATTTGTAATGTGCCCAAATGCAGCTTCATTTTCCAGACACCTTGATGCAGAATAAAGTTTTTCATCATTAGGTGCAGCTTGATGTGTAGTATGTTTTTATTTTTGATTTTTCAAATAAGTATGAATGTAAGTTATAAATTTAAACAGATTTTTAGTAATGCTATGTCATCTCAAGTTTAGCACCAATATCTATTAGTTATTTTCTTTATTGCATGGTACTTAATACTGTTTGCGTATGAACTAAGAATTATAGGGCTAGTTATGTGTTTTTGCGTTATTTTTTAAAATGTTATCTATTCCACTCTACCTAGTAATACTTACACTTAAGCAAAATTAATTAAAAAAATGAGTAGAGCGTTCAAGTGAAACATGGGGACCAGTGATAACTCCAGGAAATCCTCCTGGGATCTCAGGAACAAAGACATTAAAAATGTAGTTGAAGCTCCTTTACCTGCAGTCTCCACATCCTGGTGTCAGTTAGCATGATGTCCACAGTCAGATAAGACTTGTTTTGATAATAACTTACCCAATTAGGTGGGGGTTAGGAGCTATATTTTTGAGAAGCGACTCAGTCTGAAATGAGTAAATCAGTATTTTATTCACATTTGAACTCCATTGGAGTCAGGGAAGAAGGGTCATCTTCTATTCCAAGAATGAAGTCTTCAGGTAATGTCTCAGGTGCGATCTGAGCTAACTGGTCATCATAAGAACGCAGGGTCCATAACTTCTCCAGTTCATACATTTCTCTGGTCTCTGGAAGCATCAAATGAATCACCATGCTGCCTATCAAGGACAGGTAAGAGTGACAAAGAAGCAGTTTTTTTGCTGTTATGCTTGTGATCTCACAATCATTTAATAGTTCATTACTCACAGTATAACTATAGGAACTCAAATAATAGTTCTCAAAGTGTGGACCACAGAAGAGCATCGTCTGAAAACTTGTTAGGAAACTGTGGGCCCCATCCAGCAAAATACCACCGAAATGCTGTGTTTCTGTCTCAGTGCATCACAGAGGAGGTACATGATGCCAATATATGTAAGTTAACTATATCCAAGTGACTAGCCAGTCAGCTTTCTCTTGAGAATTCTCCAAATGTGTTTTGTTCTGGGCTTTATTTTTTACAGAGAGGAAGGGAGAGGGATAGAGAGTTAGAACATCGATGAGAGAGAGACATCGATCAGGTGCCTCCGGCACACCCCCCACTGGGGATGTGCCCACAACCAAGGTACATGCCCTTGACTGGAATCGAACCTGGGACCCTTCAGTCCACAGGCTGATGCTCTATCCACTGAGCCAAAGCAGTCAGGGCTGGGCTATCTTTTTTGAGATACTCTCTCTCTGGAGCAAAGGGCAGCTTTGCTTACACCAGTGGTTCTCAATAAAGGACATTTTTTAAAAAATGTGTATTTTATTGATTTTTTACAGAGAGGAAGGGAAAGGGATAGAGAGTTAGAAACATCGATCAGCTGCCTCCTGCACACCCCCCACTGGGGATGTGCCCGCAACCAAGGTACACGCCCTTGACTGGAATCAAACCTGGGACTCTTCAGTCTGCAGGCTGACGCTCTATCCACTGAACCAAACCGGTTAGGGCTCAAGGACATTTTTGATTTGCACAATGGATGGGGGAGAGGGGGAGGGATACTGCTAAACATCCTACAATGCACAAGATATTCCTACCCACTCCTACTAAAATTACCTGGTCCAAAACGTTAAGTGACAAAGCTGAGAAACTCTGACTTACAGCCTTGCCATAAAAAGTGTCTTCCACCAGAGCAAAAGCAGACCTGCTTCCTGCCCATCATAAACTATGTAAATACCCAGTTCCTCTCTTAGAACTGTGTGTACAGGCCCCATGTTGCTCTACAGAAGCTGGGGCTTAAGGGACCTGCTCCAAAAGTGCTGCTGTTGGCTACTGCTGTTATGAGTCCATCTCTCACCCTGGAGTAGCCTTTAGTCTTTTACCAATATCCAGATACTGGGCAGCTACCCTGTTAGCTTACAAGTAAGATAAAATCTCAGACTCCTTACAGTTCTTGACAGTTACTATTGTATATGTTAATACCCAGATTTGGTGGGTCTTTTCAAATTCCAGTCCTATGTCTGGAGTGCCCTTCACCTCAGCCAAGTTATTTAAGGCCAAGGTTATATGTACCCCAAGCCTTCTAGCACCACTAAGGGAGCTGTCCCATCTCTACCATGTTACCTATCCTGTTCTCTATCATCTTTCACCTCTTTGACTCATTACATACATAACAGGTTAGGTAAGCTTTTCACATGTGAATAAGATCGCCTGGGTTACAATGAAAACATTTCAAAAATTTTATATGGAAAAACAGCAATTTGATCTCAATCCTTCTGCAACTGAAAATAGTTCAATGCATCAAAATAACTTACCAAAGTCCACACAGAGCCAGTCATCAGTGTCCTTCCCTTCAATTTTCACATGAGGCTCATTTTTACTTTTTAGGAATTTGTACTGAAAAAGAAGAGATTGTATATTAAAGGGAGAAGGGGTGGGGGAAATCTTACTGAGGTTCTGATGGTATTTTTTCTTGGTCTTAACTTGGAACCTAGTTTACTCATTCCTATTTGTCCCATAATTAATAACTTAGGCGGGGGGGGGGGGGG